GTGTTCGAATTGTTCGACCATGAGAATGCAGGGTGATTTCTCCACCCTGGGTTGTACGTGTTCGAATAAGGGTCATTGCTTGGCCGGTTCTGGTATCCCTGTAAGGCACTAGCATCCATATACTGCTCTCCAGAATCCTGCTCGAATGATGAGGGGCATACTTCGGACATATGCCCTCGGACTCCACATGCCCCACACGTATCAACAGAAAATGTATTAACCGGCTGGGATCCACGTGCGGTAAGCAACCTCATCTGCTCAGTAAGCTCAGCTAACTGTTGGGCCACCATATCATTGTTTGGACTGACCTCATTCACTAATGCTCTCCTCCCTCGAGTGCTCTTCTACGACGAATTGGTGCTCATCGTCTCAAATATCTCATACATCTCCTCAGCTGTCCTTGCTCCGATATCACCTCCTGCCGCGTTGTCGACCATATACTGCAAGTTCTGGTGGAGGGAATCATAGAAGCAGTTCATGAGTAGCCCCGGAGAGAGGTTGTGATGGGGGCATTGCCGTTGGAGATCCTTGAACCGCTCCCAAGCCTCATGAAGAGACTCATTCGGTAGTTGAGCAAATGAGACGATCTGTGACCGAAGCTCCTGGGTCTTTTGATGGGAGTAGAACCTCCCAATGAATTTCGAGTACACCTCAGTCCAAGTGGTAAGAGAACCAGGTGCAAGCGTCATGAACCAGGCCTTGGCCCGATCCTTCAGTGTCTCAGGGAAACACCGTATCTTCAACTGCTCGTCATTAAGCTCACCGAGAGGGAAGGTGTTAAGGACGTTGTAAAATTCTCGAATGAAGTTGAGTGGGTCCTCGCTTGGAAGCCCGTGGAATGCCGGCAGCTGATTGTAGTGAATCATTTTCAGCTCGTAGTTTCGTGCAGCGTCTGGCAAACGGATGCATGAAGTGACTGGCCCGATAACTGGCTGGGCCAAAGTTCGGAGGTTGTTACGGGGAGCTTGTTGTTGTCGTTCACCCATTTCTAGGTTGCTACCTTCTGATGATTTTGGAGAATGTTCGTCTTCCTCCTTAGGTTCCAGTCTAATCTCCTCCAGTAGCTCTCTCAGGCTCTCGCTGAACGGTTTGTCGACAGTACGCGTCCACTCCTGGTACGCATACAAAGACAAAAGAAACCGTCACGAGCACCAGATAGAAAAAGAAGATAAAAAGGAAATCAAAAGAAAACAAAGAACTAACACCTAACAAATTAAAAAAAAGAAAAACAAGAGAAACACGAAAAATAAACGAATAGGAGCACAATTAAAGTCCTAAACCTTCCCCGGCAACGGCGCCAATTTTGTTGTGAGTATTTTTACCGGAGTAGAATCGAAAGATTCAACACCGGGTCGTATCGCAAGGAAGGTT